TGGGGGGGGGCTTGGGAAAGAGGATGGGGGTGGGAGAAGTGAGGAGGGGATGTTCTGTGGAGTGAGTAGAAAATTTCTTAATAAAGAAAAATTAAAAAAAAAGAAAAATGAAAAAAAAAATTCCTGCTACATCTGGTGCCCAACGTTTGTGGTACAACTTCACAAAAAAAGCTGCTTGCCTGTGGCCTTGCGGGCCCCAGCTCAGGCCTGAGCTACAATCAGCCAGTTGTGGTGGTCCATGCTGGTAGGATTTGCTGAAGGAGGCAGAGGCTAGAGGATCCCGGGTTTGAGGCCGGCCTAGGAGGCTTGCTAAGGAGAAGCTTCGGCCAGAGCCCAGCCTCAAACGTTGTCAGTGGGACCATGGAGGCAGCAGCTGCTGCTCCGAGTTGCTGGCTGCTTCTCATCGTGCTGGTGACTGCAATGATGCTGCTACCTGGGATGAAGGGTTTACTGCTGCTTGTTCAGAGAATTGCCCGGACCATCGTGTTACAAGAAAACATCAGCGAAGGTCAGTTTGGGTAAGTTTGGCAAGATAAGTGGTGGGGAGAAATTGCTGTGAAGATTTTCTCTTCTAGGGAAGAACATTCATGGTTCCAAGAGACAGACATTTATCAGACTGTGATTACTCCAAACCACAGAGGAGGCACACACACACACACACACACACACACACACACACACAAATTGCAGGGAACCATGACCATGACCATGCCTAATAGCAACTTTGAAATCTTCAAAAAGATAACAGGATCCCACAATGACGATTCCACTTGGACTATGATAAAGCCATTAAGCTGATTAACATCACGGAAAGATCTGCTTTGGACTACAAACTACTCGGGACAATTTTGAGATGGCTAGCTGAGATGATCCAGCCTGACAGACTACTCGAACAAGGAAGGACTTGAGACAAGCCCTGCACTTTCTCATTATGTAGAGACCAGACAAATGATACAGGACGTGACAATTAACCCAAAATTTTCTTTTCATCCCCTAAAGATGTTGTCACCCCTAGAAAGCAGGAAGTAATTTTAAGAAAACTACACCCATATTCCCAAGAGGTGGGGTGGGTGTTTTTTGGTCGTTCAATGGCTTATGGATAATTGTCATTGTTTACAATGGTTGGTTACAAGTTGTTAATTTTAATGGTCAGGAAAAAAGCTGAACAAGGAGATTAGATTCAGAGTTTTTGTTTATAAAGGAAAAAAGAGAATATAGATATGAGGTAGATCACTGAATCTACTCTGAGAAAAAAGATAAAGAAATAATAGGATAAATGGGTAGATCATTAAATCTACTCTAAAAACAAAAAGGGGAAGATATAAAAATGACAATAGGTAGATTATTGAATCTATTATGAAAAGAAAAAAGAGAGAATATTGATATGATAAGATAAAAAGGGAGATTATTGAACCTACATTTCAAAAGGAACTACTCATTTTAAATAGGATAAGTAATGAAATTTTTTGTCTGAATTTGTCAAATGTTAATGGACTGGACATTGTTATATATGAATGGATTTTTCCGTCTGAATCTGTCAAATGTTTATGGACTAGACATCGTTAATGTTATTCTTGACTGTATATATTGTATATACTTACTGGATAGTTTTTATTGTATTCGTTATTTTTTTTAATTTTAGACAAAAAAGGGGAAATGTGGTGGTATTGTGTTCCCCAAAACATTGTGCACCCTAATAAACTTATCTGGGGTCAGAGAACAGAACAGCCACTAGATACAGAGGCCAGAAAGTGGTGGCACTCACACCTTTAATCCTAGCATTCAGAAGGCAGAACTCTATCTGGATCTCTGTGAGTTCAAGGCCACATTAGAAACAACCAGGCAGGGTGACACACGCCTTTAATCCCAAGAAGTGAGCTTTTAATCCCAGTAAGTGATGACAGAAAGCAGAAAGGTATATAAGGCGTGAAGACCGGGAACTAGGCTGGTTAAGCTTTCAGACTTTCGAGAAGCAGTTCAGCTGAGAGGCATCCAGTCTGAGGAAACAGAATCAGCCGAGGAACTGGCAAAGTGAGGTTAGCTGTGGCATGTTCTGTCTCTCTGATCTTCCAGCATTCGCCCCAATACCTGGCTCCGGGTTTGTTTTTATTAATAAGACTCATTAAGATTCGTGCTACAGATACAAGTCTAATACCAAGTGACTTACACAGTGACACAGACTTACCAGCACATGGCTGAGAAGTCCTGTGGTTTTGCAGTACCCAAAGTTAGACAGTCTCCTCCTGGTAGGCTACCTTCCTTGGATGTCCATGATGAAGAGCCTGGCCACACCCTGATGGCATTCTGGCAGAGTGTCTGCTGCGTGTTCTGAAAAGGCATGATCGCTCTGGGCTTGCCAGGCTGTCACAAGACCCTCCCCAGTGCCCTCAAACACTCCATACAGTCCCGAGTTGTTCTGCCCTTCTTAGGGACAATGCATCACAGGCAGCTGCTTTACGGTTTAGCTTTTCTGAGTCCCCCATGCATCACAAGGCTCTGCTGATGTCTTCCAGGACTGTTGGGAAGTTGCTCCCAGGCAGATAGTCCCTTGGAAAGTGCTCTTCCCTTCAGAGCCAGGATGCCAGGACTCTGCAGGGAGCAAAATGGTCAAGGGTGTTTCTGTGGATACAGAGAGCATCTGAACTGAGGTCTGCCATCTTTACATCATTACATACCTCCTTTCGAGTGAGAGAATTCTGGGGCCAAACACAACTCATAAAATAAAGGCTTTTTTTTTCTTCCCAAATTAGCAGTACAGGTTTAAGTTCAATAATTTGTATACGATCATGATTCAAAAAAGGCCTCCATTATGTTTAGTTGATAAACAAGCTAGAAACTCCAAACACTTGAAGCCCACTTAATATAGAGCGGCAATCCAACACGGGATGAGATACCATGGTGCTCTCAGGAGACAACTGTACTCAGGATGAATGTACTCAGTTATCAACCTGATGCACACACAGCCATACAGCCTTGACTCAGAGGCCGTCGATAGCCCATAATCACTGAAGGTATGGTGTAGGAGTGTATCTGCAGGCTGCCTTTCAGTTCTGTGTCCCTAGAATTTTGAAAGTGGTTCAGTTGGCATAAAGACAGTAGCCTTTTCTGAATCTCACGGTGCCGGCTCCCTTGCAGATAAGCTGTTGGGAGCTCAGCCCTGTGCTTTCTGTACCGAATTGCAGATAGAGAAAAACCAAGCCTTTCCTACACAGGTGATATTCTGAAGAGGTCATCCTCTAAAAAATGGTTTCAAATCAGGAAATGCCTAGGGCTGAGCTGACCACGGCAGCAGCTTTTGACGCTGTGTGACTTCCTGTGATGGTTTCAGGTTGACTTCATGCTTCTGAGACTGACCAGAAGGGAAGCTGCCACACATATGTCCCAACATTCCTGGGAGTGGAAGGAGGTCTGTAACAAGACAGCATTTGACTCCAGCTTCTTTCAGAGCCCCATTCTGTTTCCTTCTCCCACAGAGTTCTCTGGAGAAAACCGGGTACTGGGATTGCATTAACTTCAGCAAGCGAAAGGAGATCTTACAACCTTGGAATATGATTGACACATGTCAGGATCGGTGCCAGGCAAATCCAGCAGTGCAGGCTGACATGTTATCATGGAAAACATGATAGCACAGTCCTTGTCACCCCGAATTCCAACTCCTAAAGCCCTGGAAGATGAAGGAACAGTGAAGGGTCAATGGAGAGGATGACTTGGTACAAGGTATCATGAAGTTCAATTTTCTGTGCCAAAGGGAAGGGAGTATTAAGAAGGAAGTAAAATACACGTAACAGCTGAAATGACACTTTTAGAACATTTGATTAATTCTCAAAGCACAACCGTTCTGTGAAGTTTGCCAGTGCTGATGCATTTAAGAACTTTAAAGGCAGGGTGTACGTGATACCCATCCAGGACCTTGAAACATGATTGTATAAACATACTTGAAGGAAAGTTCTAGCAATGACCTCAGCCTGTAGTGGGGGCCCTTATTAGAGACAGAAACTGAGAGATACCGGGAGAAGACTCTAAGAAGTAAGGCATATGTACCTGCAGCCTCCAGCAGGGACAGAGGACTCTGCTCTGGAGTGAAGCTGCCCTGGAACACACAGAGAGAATGGGAAAGGAATTACTACTGCCTGGGGAAATTTATCAGAGCAGATCCGGAAAGGGAAGATGTGTCATTAGGTAGAAGATCCATCTTCAGTGGAAAAGCCCCAGGAAACTGTAGAGTCACCCCTGCCATGGGCAGATGTTTGTAGGAAGCCTTACTAAGATTAACCAGATGCATAATCTTGCGATTCCTTTCCATGAATAGAAAATCTAAGGCACAAAAATGGACAGGAAGCACAGATATATAAACATGGGTGACTGAAAATTCATCACTATCATGGTCACAGTGGCTTCTAGTTTCTGATTAAAGCAAGCAATGTGGACCCAAATTACTGTATAAATTTAGCAAAGAGGGGAAATAGAATGTGTGAAATATGTTGTGTGCAATTTATATGATGGTTAATAATATTAATTTTAAATTAATTGTGCTTGTTAAAATACCCATGATAAGCATCTAAAATATAAGTTCCCTGAAAAAATAAATTGTAGAAAAAAAGCAAACAATAAAACTTCTGATAATTCAAAAGATAAAATGCAGTAAAAGGAGGGGAAAGGCACAAGATGGAAATGAAGCTATGTAAATGGCAGCTCCACACAGACAGTTCTTTTCCAGTAGATAAAGAATCCTGCACCAGCTAGTAATGGAGCACCCCTTTAATCCCAGAACTCAGGAGGCAGAGGCAGGCAGATCTCTCTGAGTTCAAAGCCAGCCTGGTCTACAGAGTGAGATCCAGCACAACCAGAACTATACAAAGAAACCCTGTTTTGAAAAATAACAAAACACAACAAAAAGGAACCCTGCAAGTTTATTCTCACGCAGGGATCAAAAGCAACTTAAGAGATATGACCACAAAAAGTGGTGATTTCCCTGGGAAAGTGAGCTACTGGGCAACTTAGACCCCCAAGATGAAGACCTTTGCTCTGAACCTGAGTCGGGCACCTGAACTCGAAGACCGCAGACATGACTTGGCTGATTTTCTGAGTCCACCTGCACACCCTGTTCCTGTTTCCTTGGAAGCGTTCTTGAGTTCCTTCTACACTGCACCTTTATGCTCCTTTGCTGCGCTCCCGTCTGTGGCCATAAGTACTTCAAGTCTCGATTTTCAGGTCTGAGAGATTCTTGAAAGATGCGCATATCCTTAACTTTTCGTGGGCATTTGAGAGCAGAAGTGTGAAATTGCTGTGTCCGTATAAAAGATACCTTCCGGTGTGAATGGGGAAAACCTGAGAGATGGAGGAAACAGAATTCACTGCTGTTTACAATAAACAAAACTTCTCATACATCATTCATCTTTCTCACATAAAAAGGACTGGGTACCCCAATGCACTGACAGCTTCAGAGAAGAGAGTTTTCCCTTTCTAAAGATTGGAGATGGCTACCTGAGGAATCCGTTTGTAAACTGTCTCCACTCACTTTTCAAATTTCTCTGTGGACTCTCTCAGCCATTCCCGCAAATCCATGAGGACTGAGACCCACCTATGAAGCTGGGTAGTGGCATAGCGAAGTACCCAGAAAATGAATCCATGCCCCTAGGCAGGCACTGCTCAAGCATAAAGGAAGCAAATGTTACCCTGTCAACTGCAGTCATAGGAGAGGTAAGGTGTGATTTGGGGAAAATGAAATTTTAAATTAAAATGTCAGCAGTAGAGATGTAACAAACTTTTATGTGGTTTACAGTAAATGAGAAAAGATTCTGTTGGCATGTGACTCTGGGGAAGAGAAGGGATACGGAAAGGGAGTGGCAGAGAGGTGGAAAGGAAGAAAGAACAAAATGAGGAGGGAAAAAATGGATAGATAGGTAGATAGATAGATGATAAATAGACAGATAAATGATAGATAGATAGATAGATAGATAGATAGATAGATAGATAGATAGATAGATAGATAGATAGATAGATAGATCATATATGCTTCTTAGTACATTTGGAATGACCATAATTACTTATATATCCTTCTTTCTACTACTGAGTACCCTTTAAATGTATCCTTAGAGGGCAGGTGATCTTAAAGGGGAAATTAGCTTACAATGGTAATGCATTGTACATATTCAGGAATATATTTCATAAGTATGAGTTACCTTAAAGCAAACAGCACTGAGATGAATTTTTGATGTAACACCATTCTAAGCCAAGAGAGACTGAAATCCAGTTCTTCTTGGGCAGACGAGGTGAGGCAAAGAGGAAGGTGATTTAGTTGTCTGCTTCTCAGTAAAGAGTTGTAAAGAGCATCTCACAGAGTATCTTCCTTAAACGCTGCATTCTGTAACCTGAAGTCAGGATGCCAGACACCTGAGAGGGGCAGGACAGTCGGCAGCTTTCATTGCAAATGCAAGTGGTGCATCATATTACAAATTATAGGCAGCTCACTACCCATTTTCACATTTAATACAGTCACCTTATAGAGAACTTAATAAAGTGTGTAACTGGTAATTCAGGGTCCTAGGTACTTGTATATCATATAAAAACATCATTTAATAGTATAGATCAGCTCACAAGAAAACCCAGTCCATACAGTGCTTGCCTTGCAAGCCCAAGAGCCTGTGTCCAGTTCCCAGAACCCACACATGAAAAACCAGGCATGGTGCCTCATGCTTATCACATCAGCACTGGGGAGGTTGGGACAGGTCGGTCCCTGCACATCTCGGGACAGTCACCGTAGCCTGCTTGGCAAATCCAGGCCAGGCAGCCTGTCACAAAGGAAAAGTGGGTGGAGCCTGAGGAGCAATACTGAAGGTGACCTCTGACTTGCACGAGTACTCATACCGACACACGTGTGTACACCTGCACACATGTGAACACTTACACAAAGTAGGGGGCACAGAACTAAGATTATGATCGTTAACAACAACAACAACAAATCCAAAGATGACTAACAGTTGTCTGAGTCAAATGTCAAGAACTGAAACTTTTCAAAATACATTCCCTGAGAGGAAGTGTTGGTAACATGAACCTTTTTATATCTAGAAATGTGGGATTAGTAAAAGAAATTATATCTGTGTATTGTTTAATTTTTCTTTCATTCTTATCATACATAAATAAAACCACTCAGTGGATTTTGAGCCTTGACTGACCTGAATTACAGTGTTCATTGCAATCAGCAGTGAGCTGTTCTCTACCTGCTTCTTCCCAAAAGCTGAGATTCATTCACAGACTTTGGATTTATTTATTTATTTATGGATTGATTGATTGATTTTGGGGGGGTTATAAACAAGGTTTCTCTGTGTAGCTCTGGCTGTCCTGGAACTCACTCTGTAACCGGGCTGGCCTAGAACTCATAGAGATCTGCCTGCCTCTGCCTTCCAAGTGCTGGGATTAAATATGTGTGCTACCACTCCCCAGGTTTGTTTATTTATTTACTCGTTTATTTATTTATTTATTTATTTATTTGCTTTTTGTGGCCTCAATTGTTAGTCCATGCACATATGTATTTGCATATACATACATATCCCCAAATATGACCTGTTGAGTCCTACAGTGTTACTTATATGTATGTTTTCAGGGCCGAAATAAATCCCCCTCCCTGAGAACTAGCTCTCATAGCTCTGGAAGCTACTATGCAAGCTTCCAAAGGAGAGAGGCAAACAACAGTCCTACGCAGGAAAGCAACCAACATGACATGTTAACCCTACGGGTGTTGTAGTGGTGCACATACGTGATGGAAACTAATGCCTCTAATTGAACTTAAGACCTGCTCAAGAAGAAGGAGCCTATGCCTGATATCGAAAACCTAGCTAACTACTCAGTGCTAGTGAAGTCAGGGTCATTGGAGGAGAACCTACAGCCACTAATTTACTAAATCAAGATCATCTCTAACAACAATCTATAAACATCTGTCCTCATACCCACACGTAAGTGTACTCCTCACCCCTCATCAAGGGAACTTCTCTTTGCAACAACCAGAGACCATTACAGAAAGCCACAACCATTCAATATGCAGAGTTGTGGAGCCCAGTTCCCCCAAAGAATACATCTACAAAATATTCCCACCTCTAGAGGCTCGGGAAGCATTGCAGAAGGGGGAGCAGAAAGACAAAAGACGGTAAGAGCCAGGGGGTCAGTGACTTTGCTGAGATTATGTCCACTGGTAGTATCAGAGGCTACACCCCTAAAGCAGCCAACATGGCTGAACAAGGAATGACCAACATGACAAACGGCCCAGGGAAAAGCCCAGGAGGCATCAGTGCTATACAAAGAACAACAGACCACTGAGCAAAGTTGGGAGCAGGATCGGGAGGAGCACACCAATCAGTTGTCTGGTGACTCACCGACGTTTACAAATGAAATTTAATTGAGAGTCAATAGTTTCTCACACATAACATGGAACTTTTCAAGTCTGAATTTTCTCTTGGCTTAATTATAACAAACTTCCGACAGCTATTAATTTGTTACCCACACAATTTAACATCTGTGATAACTGCATGTGCCCCCCCGCCCGCCCATAGGCTCACCCCAGGTTAATTGCCAGCGTATCTTTACAAAAGGGGCTAAAACAACACAGAATAAATTTTTGATAAAGTCATCTTAGTTTCCATGAAAGGGATGTTGTCACCTTCTTTTGCTTTAGTTATTCTACATAGTTTACAAAGAAATAATAAAAACTTAAGTGAGTATTCAGATTTTATTTCTACTACTTAGAACTATACAGTTGGGATATCAGTAAAAGAAAACTAAATATGTAATGGATGTTCCAAAATCTTTCCAATATGTTCCGATTTTCTAAGAAACCATAACCTGTAAAAAGAAAAAAAAAGTCGGAATATTCAGCTAGCAAGTCTTTAGATGCAGGTGATGAGCAGAAAAACTCGCAAAAACACCATCTGCGTCTCCAGACCCCTATTCCAGCTGCTCATTGTCCATTGCTGCCTGGATTCTGGCAGAAGAAGATGCCCCTGCCCTTTTGCCCTCCTGCCTGGGCAGCCTCCACACTAATGAGTGCTGTGCATTCACAGGGAAAGGAAGAAAGACAGAAAGTGAACTACCTGGGTAACCTGCCTCCTGGCAGAGCCATCCAGCTGTCCTTCTGAAATAACAAGGCAGAATATATTAATCATTGTACATTTGTGCTGTTTCCCCAAAAGATCAATGTTGTTAGCAGGATACTTGTGCCATGGAAGAAGAAAATGGTCAGGACAGCATCCTTTCAATTAAAAGCAAGTATGAATGTTAATGGGCCATGCCCAGAGCTCCACTGGTGGCCAGGCCCAGAACAGCATGCCTGTGTTCCCTTCTGGCCATGGAAAATCTCTTTTGGACCATAGGAAATTCTTTAAATTGCATGCAAAGCTTGTAGACCAGTCACTGTAGCATGTAGGGAGACAAAAAAAATCATTTTTTTTAAGAACACTGGGTTACCTGTGTTAAATGTGGGGTTAGCAATGGCTTGCAAAGGTGTGAGTCGGGATCCAATCACTGATGACTGAGTTTTAAAGGAAACTTACTTGTGGACTAATCCTAGGTACCCATCTCAAAACTGAGCCTGACTGAGAGAATAAAACTCAGTTCACAAGAGTGGAGATTTCTTAATTGATACAACTCAGGCTAGGGTGTTAGGTCTGTGGTTAGATGTAGCATGGGATGAATGTACTGTCGGGTGTACTCATGCTAAACGAGGGATCAAGTGTCTACCTAGAGGAAGGCTGCTGTGAATTCCATCGTTTTCCCAAGATTAAGACATAAGAGAGTCCCGTGCATTCTATGGAACCTTCCAGTGGCTACAGTCATCAGCCTTGCTCATCTGGTGATCATGCCCAACACCTCTGCCATGTTTACAGAAGGTGGAGAGGCTCCCCTTCAGTCAACACCGGGTGAGAGCCAGTGGGGGACGGAGATGAGAGTGTGGCTTTGCTACAACAAAAAATACCACAGAATGAGTCTATAAGTCAAGGGGACAGGTACTGGGTGAGAGCCAAATTGGGAGAGGTGAACCAGAGGTAAAAAAAACACATCCAATTTCACCCAAATCTGGGCAAAGCCTATGGAAAATGTTAATGCCTAAATTCTCGTAAAATATCTGAACAAAAGGAAATGATCTAGAACCTTCATTTTAAAAATGAGTAAGACGTGGT